AGCGTGAATTCAGTGGAGATAGTTAACTCACATGTTCAAAATACTGTAATGGTCCATCAATTTGCTACATCAAAATGATTGACTACCCTGCGATCATTAAAAATCAAGTGACAGAAAAATATTTAATGACCTAGGGAGAGCTCATAATCTTTTAGATAAAAAGGGGAAGGTTATAAAAAGAGTAATATGTATGATATAAAATGATCAAAATTTATAAAGCAAACAAAAACGAAAGCCTGATATATGTTGTATATTCCTTGGGGAAAAAAAAGCAAAGTGTGTGTGTGTATGTATGTGTGTGTATAATACAACATTTTAGAATTTTAATACTAAAAGCAACCTTATATATCACCACACGGATCAAGCTTTTAATTCTATAGATGAGGAAGCAGCAGCTAAATTTTTTTCACTAGAAAGAATCTAGGATATAATTTTATTCATTTTTACATCTGATAAAACTAAAAATGGATCATAAACAGGACAAATAACTTGCTCTAAAAATTCAAGTAAGAAGGCCTGCATATTGTGGAAATTCGGGGGTGAGATGAGAGATGAGAGGAGCTTTTGATACCAAATTGTCCTGAAGTCCCTGAACAATCCCAAGAGGTGAATGATTCCCAGACAAAATTCAATACAAGGCATTCTTTTCAAGCCCTAATATAAGGCTTTATTAAGAAGACACTGATAATATTTAATTATTGAAAAGAATTATTATGTCTAGTATATGTTTCTGTAGTTCTATTATGGGAAAGAAATACACATTCTCTAGTTTAATAAAACTACATTTTATATCTAAAGAGGTTAGCTGGAAAATGGATGATTCTGTTCTGTATCTTAGTCCATCAGAGGACAAGGTACTACAGAGGGGAAAACAAAAGCAACATCTTTTTTTTGGCCTTACAAACCTAACAAATATGACTAAAACATTTCCACTATTTCATAACACTGCTAGGGTGCCTAATTTCCCATAGGTAGTATAGCAATAGCTGTGTGGTGGAAAGTGGTATACACATATGCCTGCGGGGAAACTATATTAGCCTTTGACAGGTAGGAAGGACTCAACACAAGATATTTGGTATTTGAAGAGAAAAAATTCAGGAATCGTCTGAGTGCCAGAAATATAACCCCCTTTCTCTCCACTGGAGAATTCCAGCTCATCTTTGATTTTCTTGTTCTTGTTCATAAATTCATTTCTTTGAATCATGTGTGTTTCCTAGTTTAAGTAGTAAAAGAGAAACTTATAATGGGGGAAACTGCAAGCCTTACTTACCCCAACCTTTTGGGGTGACCGAAGAGGTTCTTTCTTGACAATTTTAAGATAAAAAGCTGCTGGAAGAATGAAAATCAGCATAGTGGCAGAAGAAGCCCCTGAGGAGAGAAACACAGGACAGATCAATGTCTTACACAGCAGGTCTGACTCAGCAAGGCGGAAACTGAAGGCACTTTAAAGACACCAAATCTGAAGCTTCCCTGATCTTAGCACTGAATGCACTATAAACTCATGGTGTTTGCTTATTCAAAGATATGTCTATAAAGAAAATTAAAATGTTCCTAACATCATAACTGCATACTGAGTATATATAACATATAATAAACAATAAAGACTGAATATTACAGATTTACAGGAAATTAATAATACTATAAACACTGATTAAGGAGATTGAACTTATCACACACCCTTCCTATCCACTTCTAACTTTTCAAGTTGCTTACACTTAATTTTTAAAAGTTTTATATTGTATTTAAAATTGGAGCAATCCCTCAAATCAACAGAATGAAAAATGAAATATATTAAGATGCACCGTCAAGGGAATTAAGTATATTTTCCTTAATAGTTAAGAGAAATAATACAAAATCAATCTCCTCCTCCTCCAAAGACAACCTTTAATGCTCAGCTGATACTCACAGATCTGAGAGAGCAAGCATCCTGTAGATAAAATCTATCTTCCTTGCTTTTTGATGCAAAGTTAGGACCTAAGTGCAAATCCTGGGCCAACTCTAAGGTATATGACTTGACTTCTACCTGGCTCAGTTTCCTCATCTGTCAGAAAAGGCAGTTGGACTAGATGACCTATAAAGTAGCTTTTAGTGCTAACATTTTCTGATCCTGTGAATAACTTCCAGTGTCAGTTGGGATAGAGGGAAGATGACCAGCTGGAGCCCTACTGGACTAATAGGAATCCTGTGAGCCTGAGACGGACAGAGGATCCTTGACCTCCCAACCCTGGCTCCTTGTCAACCATTTAAGGAGATATCAGCTTGAGATGACTATGTAAAAGCCTTTCTGAAACTTACCTATGAATCCAAAGATGTATTTTATAGTTGGCACAAGGATGACCAAAACGTTATTAAGTGCAATAAGCGTGGCTGCAATCAGGATATGTCTTATCCAGCTAAAGGGTCTTCTGGGAAATAACAGAGTGGTCACTGATGTACGAATCTGCAACAAGAAAGTTCAAAGGCAAGGTCACTGCTTTGTTTTTGCCTTTATTATTTCAAATATTCTCATCGCTCTGGAGCATTTTCTTTGTTTTTCCTTTTTCTCCCAGAAAAGATCTTGATGCTGATTTGCTGATTTTTTGAGAATTTTTTTACTGTAGTAAAATACATATAACATAAAATTTACCATCTTAACCATTTTTTAAGTATACAGTTCAGTAGTATTAAGTAAATTTATATTGTTGTGCAACCTTGATGATGATTTTTGATGTTTGAGATACTGTTATTTTCCCTTAGTGATAAAGCTTGTGCCCACTTTCTCAGCTTTCAGAATTTTTTCTTCAAAATGATCTCAGTCAGAAAGAGATAAAAATAATAGATAACAGATATAATTCAGAGATTCAGTAAAACCCTTGTTGATTTCTAATCATGTCTCATCAGATTGGATTAAGTATTAAGGGCAAGCACTGAATTGATCTGCACAGGGCTGAGAATGAAATTTTTACAAACCTGGGTTTTTCTTAATTTTGCATTGTACTGAACATTTTTTCCACCTCAGATTTAAAAGAATATGACACTCTTTGTATTTATCCTTTTCTCTTCCCTTTTATTCCTTCCCCTAATTATAGATATAAATGCACAAAAGGCAAAGAACAGGACCTAATAATCTTAACATTCCTCAGTGTTTCTAGCTTAGGGTCATGCACACAGCAGACACTCAATAAATGTTGAATTAAATTGAACAGGACGAACCTTTTCCCTCCAGGATCCTTGACAGATTTTAGCCCTATTTTAGTGGCTGAAATAAGTAGGCGAAGGGTCAAGAGAGGCTCCATTTGCAGCTGCCGCCTAAGTTACTCTGATGTAACCAGATAAAGAGATCCTTGTGAGTAGAGGGAGGCAGTGCCAATTATGTTTGAACAGCTTAACCAAGTTGAAAATAGTCTTATCTTTGGAATCTTTTAGAGGACACTTGATTTAGTGGAATTAATCTACCGGCTTTTCAATAAGTGAGCACTTCAGTTAAGCTGGGACTTCACATTTTCAGAAATGCTGGGATTGATTTTTACTTCAAAATTTTACTTCTGAAGTCTCTTAATGTTATGGAGATCATAACTTACTTAAAAGAAAATGTAAAATATATTTTAAAACACAGGTATTAATGACAAAAACTTAGAGCTGAATTGCTTACAGTTTCTAATGTGACATTCCTTTCATACCACTCCACCAAAAATTAAAGCCATCTGTTCAGGTTTAAGAGGCAGTTTTATTTCCAGAATGGCAAACCAGATAGTCTCTGGAAATAGTTTAAGAGTGATTTTGTAACAGATTTTAAAAATTGGATTAGTGAAAATTATGAAAATCACTCTGAAAAGTAGGACTGAGGAAAGTAAATGCTTTGATTTTGTTTTCCTCAGCAGCCTATAAATTCTATATTATGCCCTACAATTCATGATTATTTGATATTGTCCAAACTGGTCTAATTAGTAGGCTTCAAATAAGCTTTCTATGGTACATATGCAGTGTTTAAGAATTTGTTTGAAAGTGCTAAATTTATAGAATAAACAACTAGAATACAAGTTGTTTTCAGGCAGAGGTCACATCTATGTGCTTTTTAGTCCTTTCTTAAAATAATGCATTTAATTCAATAAGCTGAGTTAGCAGTAATCCTCTATGTATACAGCCTCTGAATATAAATGGTTTCTGTAGGCCTTATGGGTCCCAGAAAGACTCAGGTTTGGCCTGATGATGTTAGAGACAGAAGGTTCACAGGAATGATAGTTGGGGTAAATAGTGAAAGCTTGCTTCTCATAGTGAGTAAGGAATAACAAAACCCAAACAGAAATTAAAGTAAACAGAGTTGCCAGTGCATTCCTGAAGAAGGCAACAGGGCAAACAGGGAGATAGCAGGCTGTGGGCGGTGGAGAAGAATAGAAGGACGCTTGCTGGTTGTTCCTTGTTAAAACGCTGCCTTGAGGAGTGAGCTTGGGATCAAAAGAGCCTCAGCAATTCTATTTGCCTATGTCAGGATAGAGGCAATTCTGCTTATTACCCACAAAGCGTTGCCTCCAATTCATTTATCTAAGTGCCCTTTCTCTAGAGACACAAATTGATAAGAATTTGGAAATGTGGCTGTGGGTGGGAGAAGTCCCCAGCAACAGCCATGGCTTCTGACCCAGAATGATTCCAGAAAAGTTCTATGCAGCCCTAGAAAAAACTTTTATTTCCAGAGAGACTGTTCTGCACATAAGCCTCTTTATAGGTACTATGCTATCATGCGGGGACCTAGTGTGAAAGTCAGAAATATGCAGGCAGAGTAGAAAGTGGAAGGCTTGGTTCTGAATTCTAAAAAAAAAAAAAATTAATTCTATTACTTAGGGGTAAATCACAGTTTCACTTTAGGATGGCTTAAGATAAGAGTGTTAGAAATACCTAAGGATCGCTATTCTATTCCAGTTCATAGCAACATCTGCCATATTTTTATGCCTATATCTACATAAACTTCAAAACAGGCAATCTGAAGTCAACATACATGAAAAGAATGATTTTACTATAGTAAAATGAAATAGAAGTGGTTGGAGAATCTGAGGCATTATCTCTTTTTTGTAAGATGTGGCAGTAGAATTTAAGCCTCTGTGTTCTCGATAAACCCGTTAGGATTATTTGTTCTTCTGTTTTTCATGGTGTTGTGTGAATTTTACTGCGTAAAGGGAAGCACAAGCAAATATACGGCACTGTCAGTCCTTGGGGAGGAAGTGTAGTCCCACGATAGACACCCCTGCCCCACATCACCCACCTCCTACACTAAGAAAGAGAAAAGAAATGTTGGGTTGCTAATGAAAAAGCTTCTTATTCACTTCATTTATTCCTTTGTTCAACAAACATTTCAAGCTATCACTATGGGCCTTTTACTAAGGAGAAAAAACTAACCTAACTGGAAAAAAGAAAGACAATAAATAGATTAATCAAAGGAAAAACTATCCAACAACAATAAAACCCCTCTTATATCTTCCTAGGCTTCTCAGAAAGAGAGCCCAGTTATTTATTGAAAGGAGGAGAATATAAAATAATACCTAAACCTGACAGATTTTAATCCAGATTAGGTTTTATTTGCTTGTTTGTTTTATTATTCATATGTGGGGATAATAAGGCCAAGGAAACAGACTCCTTACTGTTTAAGAGTTTCTTAATTCAGAGAAACCTGACAGGAGAACCATGCTGTGACTCAGCATTTGACACACTGAAAATCTTCTAAATTGTAAGAAACAAACAAAAACACCACTAACTTCTTCTATCACTTTGGGGGAAGAGTGTCAATGTAGCCGTTTGGGACTTGACAGAGACAGGGAGGCTGGGCCTGCTTTTATGTCATCCATCAGATCCATAGAGGCTTGGTTCATTAGCCCAGATGGTCCCCCAAACTGGAATTTGTGGCAAATGTCAGCAAGGGGAAGAGCCTATGCTTTTGCTAGAAAAAGCAGTTTGTACTTCTCAAGAAAAGTCAAGATTCATTTGGAGATGGTTTTTCTTTCTTAGCAAACATTGCTGAGCTCATCCTGTGCCAGTCATTGTGCATATCTCTAACCTCCAGGGACTTACTCCCCAGGAGGAAATTTGGACAGTTATGCAGATCATCTCACAACATTGTAAGAGCAAAGCAGAATTATGTGCATGTTTCCATAAATGCTAAGGTTGGGTGAAGATACATAATGAAGGATAGCAGTTAACTATTTTTCTGAAATTTGGTTCTAATGGTCAGTTTTGGTTCTGTTGTACCTCTGATGGGAGATGTTTCCAAGTCACCGCCATTCCTAATGGTCAGACTTATGCCAGTGCTTTATCTGTCAGAAGGGGGAAATGCTCCATGCAGATGTCTGCATTCTTAATGTCAAGGAGCAATGGTCATCAGTAAATGAAAGGCTGACTTTCACTTTCCATTACCACGATTGCAGCCATAAGTGTCATGTTATGAGCCCCTCATTAGTTCAACTGTTACCGACAAGCTGTGTGACCACAGCCAAGTCCATTAATCCCCTGAGACCATGACTTGAAAGCACTATATTTAAGGCTTATGAATAAAGCAATACAGAAGCACATCACAGATTTCTTTTGTAAAATGCTTTGATTCAACAATGATATGAATGCCTACTGTGTACAAAAATTTAGTTAGTGATATCCTAACATACAAAAAGAAGGGCTTTTGATATTCTTCGCCCAGTGACGCTGTTTACTTGGAAATTTTACCCTGGAAAAGACTTTCTGTCTATAGCTGTCTTCTGCCTTGTAGCCACAATGGAGTTGATTTTAGGCTAAAGCTGTGTGCATGTCATTTGAATACTTTCAGATATATGAGAGGCAAGACATTATTTAAGAGTTAAATATTAGCCAATGTAGTAATAAAGATCTGATTTCATGCACTCATGAAAAAGGAATGTGCCAAAAAATATTTCAGCACACAAACTGCATTTAAAGTGACCACAGTTATCATTATATGAGTAGTCCTCATATGCTTGGCCCTCTATGGAACATTCTGTACAGGGTAGTGCTGGTTGCTTATTTTTTCCTCTAAAATGAATGAGTAAATTCAGTGTTTATGAAAGGAGAAGAGTTGGCAGGAGAGTGCAGACCTATGTTTTTCTATAGGTGGTGGTTTTAACTCATGCAGCTCAAATCTCCATGACCACCCCTGTTCTGCGATTCCCAGAAAAACTGACGCCAGTGGCAAATGCCAAGAAGAGGCAATCCAGTAAGGACATGTGTCATTTTGGGAGCAGTAGAAGAGATATATGGTGAATAACGAAAAATTTTCAAGAAATCTGGTTCTAGGATGTAATTTACTTAACCTGAATTCCCTTCTCACTAGCCTTCAAGGAATCAGATTAAATACGGCTACTTTGGGATGTTACTGTGGCACAATAAACTGGGGGAAAGATGAAATACATTCAAAAATGGTGAAAATGCAATGTGCATTGAAAGTTAATGTGGTTTTGACTTTCAAGTTTCAGAAGTTATATGAATTCCTACTCATTTCTACTAATTCACAACATAGAAGCTCAAGGTCTGCTTTTTGAATTTGAATTTAAGAACAAATTTCAGCCTCAGTAAAGCTGGAAAATAAATAAGTAAAAATAAATTTCATGATTTTCTTTCCTGCACTTTAAAATACTTAACATCTAAAAACATGTGCTCTATCTCCATATTTAATGGTCAATTTTAAGTGGTTCCAAAATGCTGTATAAAAATAATAATGTCCTCAGGCATGGCAATTGCTCACTCACACTATAATTCAGTCTACATCAAGTCAAAACATGTGTACTGATCCATAGGGTAAAGCAGGATTCTTTCACTAAACCTCCATGTACTTACTGGGAATAGGACAATGGGAACAGTTAGTGTGACTGCCACGAGGACTGCCAGGCGTACCATGAGGAGAGGGGTGTCGAATGTGTACACTTTGCTGTAAGCATGAAGTAATTCATCTTCAACTTCTCCTACAAAGGGGAAGAAGAAAAAGAGTTCGTTTGGTGTTGTCAAGTCGACCTGGTTGCCTATGGCAATGGTCTGTGGAGGAAACACAGTACAGTAGAAAAACCCAGGTCTGGGAATCCAGACACTTCTGTTTTTACCCTGTCTGTGAGCTTATTAGCTGTGTGGCTTTTAAAAAAGGGACTCTGAAGCTTATAAAGTTGCAGAAGCTAACATGAAATTGCCAAGAGGCTTCTCTAGCTCATTTGCCCTCTGATAAATCTATCTCTGCTCTACAGAAGCATCACAAAACAAAACAGGATTTAAAAAAATAATGGTGCTCCCTTTCCTCCAGTTTTTTCCTCCTTAACTTATCTTGCAATCAATTGAAGTTTATACAAAAAATATATTTATGTCGCTCACATTGACCAGTGGGATGATCCCCTGAAATTTGTCTATAGGGCCATGCTTATGGAAGGAAATGGCAATCCTACTCCTTTTGTATCCCGTTAATATGTCATAGAAGAAATATTTTAGGCACAATCTAATGTGATCATACTCATATATATACATTTTTGATAGTACATTCCAAGAATGAAGGTAATTCTGTTATGTGCTCTTGTTTAGGAAAACATTCACTATAACACAATAGAATAGGATAAGCAAAAAAAAAAAAAAATCGCCTAATGCTCCAAGCCCTTAGATTCAAATTGACTGATAAATGAGTTGACAACACCAACTCAATGACATTGTACTTTTTCTGTCATTTGCTTGGTAGTTATTTATTCCACCAAAAGAGCTTTGCAACATGCAGTTGAATTCACTTTCATTGCTTCTAGGTTGAGATGGACTAGGGAATTAAACCAAGGAAATATTATCTATCCCTGAAGGAAAATAATTAAATTTAAGAGACTTTCAAAATAAAATATGTGTGAATTCGCAAATTGTTGTAACCTGTTGGCTAGGCTGGTTCAGGTCCCATTTTCTTAGGTCAAGTGACAAGTCTAAAATAGCATGTTAAATAAGTAATTGTATCAATAGATCATACTGCTTATAGAGGTTATTTAAAATAATTATACCTACCCAGGTTAATGATCAGTCCAACTAGGATTTGCACAAAGAGAATGACTTTGACAGACTGACCTACCATAAAAGGTTAGGTAACCAAAGAGGGCAGCAAGCAGGTACATAATGAGCATCCCCGTGATGGAAATATTTGACACGGTTTGCATTTTCCTCTGGGACCGACTGAAAAGAAAAAGAACACTGAGTTTTTTTTTATAATTTGTGAATATATCACTATTTAGAATTTAAAAATTTTAAATAATGAAAGAATATGCATCTATGTTGCTCATTATGAAACTTCATTTCTAGTGCAGAAACATAGCTATTTAAATTTCCTTTAGCCGTGGAGGATTTGTTTCCATGTTTTAAAAACACTACTTCGGTCTTAGAAATAATCATTTTCCTAATGATTACTTAAATACTCAGACCACTGTGCTGAGTATTTAAGAATTAATTAACATAAAGATCAAACTGGTTCCTAATGTAGAAAGCCTTCATATTTCATAGTGAGATGAGTTTAATGAGGACAAGAACATATTAGAATCAGCAAAGCCTTACTTCCAGGAGTTTGCATATTATTACCAGGGTGTTTGGTATTACCTGGACAGCTTCTGGAAACCATTCTAGAAGGCACTCGGTGACTTAAAGTCAATCGTCAGGCCTCTAGAGTAACTGCTACATGTCATTTTCCAAGTAAATCAAAGACATCAAAATAATTAAAATGTTCCAAAATTTTTTTATAAAGTAAATCAGAATTTATGGGGAAAGTTATTATTATTTAGTGAGAATGAAGACTGAGGTTGTTGATGTCTGGGTTAAATAAGTTGAAAATTATTATATGACATTGACCTCTAAAGGTAAAGAGGGAAGCAGCTATAGTAGGCTCCAATTCATCCCCAAGTAGACGTCAACAGCCTCAAAGGGAAAAAAGTATTAATGATTCAGAGAGTCGATTAGAAACAAGATTGTCTAACCAGTGTCTTTATTGTACAGATAAGACAACAAAGGCCAGATGTTTGCACATCTCTATGGTGAATGTCTTCTAGACAAGGGTTAGGAACTGACCACAAGTGACATCAGTGGCTTAGCGTGGCCACCCTAACCTTAATTTTTGGTTTTTATGGGTGGAGTCATTTCCAGTTCAGGTGATGTCACTTCTCTCCGCTAAAATTCAAACTTCAATTCCCCATGCCCGCCAAAACCATTACAGCCTTTGGCTCCTCCTTCCTCTGCCCTGATCCCCTTCCCTGGACAATTAGGGTGAAGGAATAGGGGAGAAGGAAACAGATAAGGCAGTGCTACGATGGGACTGATTCACACCTTTTTGGTTAAAGCATGTTACCGAATAGTTGTAGAACAAACTTTCTCTGAAGAAAAAGCTATAAACCGTGCTTCTGTATGAAGCAACTTTGAACATATGAGCCCATTTTCAAAGCAAATTAGAATGTTAAAATGATAGCTGCCTTACTCTTTAAGTTCACTGTAGATGGGAAGGACCTCAGGGTGGCATACAAAAGCAAATGCTAGGATAGGAATTGCATAGGCCGCCTGAAAAACAAAGACAACACCACATATTTAGCATTTCAACACAGATGGTAATCCCAGGGCATCTGAGTTTATGAATAAAAATTCAGAGCCCACATTGCTAGGCTCGTTAGAGGCCCAGGCCTCTCACTTACCCGGGAGTTGAATACGAAGTATTTGGGTTGACACTTGTCATCACTGTGTGCTTCATACTCTACTCCACTGCCATGAAGAGAGCCCTTGGCCTGGTTCTCATCTAGCCCTGCAGGATTCTGGTGGGTGTAATCCATCATGAAGTTCACACCACTATTCTCTGAGTTGTTGGGTAACATTACCACGTGCATTGGAAGTGTATTGTTGAATGTCAGATTTCCAACATTGTGATCCAGAATGGGCAGAGGGCAGGGTATTTGGAATTTCTTGTAAATCACCTAGACCCAGTGATTTAAAAAAAAAAAGTTACCCTTTGAGAAGAACAAGGAAATGAAAATCCATATGTGTGGCTTTTGAGGTGGAGATGAGAGGTCTCTGCTCATGATTCCTTTTAGACTAATGGACAACAAAGCCTCTGTCCTAAAGAAAGAGTTGGAATGATGATTGGTAGTCCTCCCCTATAGAGTCAACAGGACAGCATTTTGCATGAATCCATCCTAAGCTTCGTTCATACTCTTCCATGACAAAGATGATTGTTTCCTGTTCTAGTCATATCTTTTATTTCTTTAAACTAATAATAATAATATGGGTTATTAAAAACTTCCCTCCCCTTTACCTCTTTGGGGGTAATACTATATACATTTTGGCATCCAGGATATTACAAGAAATTTTCCCTTTTGGCAGAGAGTGAGGGGAGGTGAGGAGAGGGATTTCTTCTTTAATCCCACTGTGGTCACCCTCTCTTCATGGGTAGAATGTGTAAGAGAAAATGGCTGATTCATGCAGATATGGCTAATTCTGTTGCCTACTCATTTCTCTTCGGGGCTCTTCCCTTTTATTACCTCCACCTTTCTAAATACTGGGTTATTGTCATGTTCCTGCTTGAAGTGGTCCTTCTGTCCAAATATACTTTATGTGCCTAAAACATACTCTTAGCAATGACCTTGACATTCTAACTCAACTATTTTTAAACTCATGACTATCCTTTTCACATTCCAAGCTAGAATACAAAAAAAATTACTTGTGATATGAGAACTATTTCATGCCAATGAAGTGCTTGAACACAAAAGAGAACACTAATTCAAGGACTAAAAACATCTCATGCTCCCCAAGCTACAAGAATCGTGTCAATAAATCACTTACCACACTGACAAAAAACAGCATGCAGGTAAGAGAAAATCCGCTGGTATAACCAAGGTAACCTAGGAGTTAGCAGAGAAATTCTGGAAGGTGAATATGGCATTTACAATCAGATAACCTATTAGAATATGAAATAAAAATAAAAATTAAAAATGACTTTACCTAAATTTTTAAGAAGAGAAAGTGGAAGAATGATTCCAACAGACACAAATAGGACGAGGTAGTTGCCATTGAGGTACCATTCTCTAGAAGAGAAAGAAGAACCAGAACATTGGGTTTGGAAAAGACCAGCTAGGATGAATCACTTGACATTTCAGAGAGAGCATAAGACATACCCAGTATTTTCTTCAAGTCCCATGAATGCTCTGATTACTTCAGGTAGTTCATATTTAATGATAAAGAGGTAGCTTGACATTGCTAAAAATGAGAAACATGACAGTTTAGTAATGTGAATAGCACTGAAGTCACAGGCAAGTTGGGAGAAGTTCTTGCATTTGAGACATACATTCTTCTCGGTTAAGACGAGCATCTAATCCCCCGAACAAAAAAGAAAGCCACTCTGTGAATTTTGTACTGCTTCCAAGTTCTTTTCAAAAATAGACATTTGGCCTTCTGGCTCTTGTGTATGGAACTTTCCTAACAGTATCAATGCTGATTCTGTGTTAAATCCAGCTCTGAGGTTTTCAGTGAAGCTGTACTTTGAAAGTTTTTCCCCTCATTAGTTATAAGTCATCATAGACTGTACTGAGCATGCCAGTTTTAGTGTCTATAACATGGAGAAGGGTCTGGCAACAGAAGGTGTGGGCCGGAAGGGAGAGGCCAGAACTGTAGGGCAGAGGTAAGTGTACTACATGTCATTCTGGCTCTCCCCGGGTAGGTGCCAGTCTATTCCTCTGTAATCTCCCTGAGGGACACACAAAGTCTCAGACCACTGATTGTCTAAACTGGAGTCATACTGGATTGATAAAAAAATATCAGAGGCAATAGCTTCTCCCACTATGTTAATGACGTTTTTCCCCTCTATATCCTAGCCTCTCCCCTTTGGCCAAATAAGAAATCATTCAAAGTGGCAACATTTCTTGAACATCTTGATAAGTGATATACGTGTGATCGTGTACTCTTCCGACAACTTAATGAAATCTATAAACCCTCTCCCTGAAAAAATGTGTGTATATATACATATATACACATATACATAATACAATTTTTCCTATAATTATAGAGATTTATGCAACATCAGAGTCACTTAAAAATAAACTGACGAGTTTTGCATTAATAGCTTTAACTGCATGCTTCATCCTTCTGGTGAATTTTTGCTAACAGACATTTAAAGCAGATACCTAAGTTGCAAATTGAACTATTAATATTAAATTAATGAACATTAAAGATAGTTTCTCAACCTCAAACAAAAGTAATAATAATGATAATAATTCTCCACATTGTTTGGTTCTGCACATTAACTCCATGTAATCATCTGAAATCATCTATGAAACAGCAAGTGTATGTCATTATCACAGCTAAGGAGATAAAGATTTTGAGAGCTTAAATGACACGTCCAAAGTCACACAGCTTGAAAATGACAGACCACATCCAAAACATAAGTTTCCTGATTTGGGGCCAGTGTTTCTTCTCTTATTGTGAAGTGAAATGATTCTTACAATACGTGATGTGTCTTCTGCAAACATTATTTGGTTAATCTTTACAAAGACCTTGACTAAAGCTAAATCTTACAGAGTGTAAACAGAGGACATATTTCTGATTAACTGGCTCAGTGAGGTATCATTCAATTTTAGAGAGCTATTAATTGCTGACGTTCAGTGATGTTACCACTGTTAATGTGTTTGGTCTTCGAAAGTTCAGAATGATCCAGACCTGTCTGGGTAATGTCAACACTATTCTTCCAGTGTCGAAACATTTATGGTAAATGTTAATTTTTCAGGGGATTGAGAAAATTAAACGTTCTAAGTGTGAAGTTGCTAAATGCAGAAATACAAGTGATTTCCATTAGGCCAAAATAATCACTAATCGTATGAAGTAACTAAAGTGAGAGCATTTTCAGGAATGATGTATAAAATTTCATCTTACTCCCTTAAAACCACACTTCTTTTTGCGTGTATGGCTTGACTGAGAGACCACATTATAGTTTATCCCATCATTTAGAAGCATATTAGTAGCTATACTTTGAGCAACAGATGCTGCTATTGCCGCTCAGCCTGTTGAATTCAGGGGTAAATACATGTATGGTTATTTCAGTTGTCCAAACAAATAACTTAGATCAACTATAAAGTGATCCTATGAAACACTCGATCCTTTAAATCTTGATAAGTCTGAAAATATGAGCCCAGTGTAAAGCAGTCTATTTTGTAGGTTTATCTGCTTGTGGCCCCAAACCAGGAAAATGAATGAAATAATCCTGGCATTACTGCCAAATTCTACCCAGGACTATAGTCTTAATATATAAAAAATATGAAAAGAAATAAATACAAATCATTAAGATACACCTGGATTTTTTTTTTTTCTGTTTACCAACAATCCATTATCAGTAGCAGGTATAGTTGGATAAAGGTTATTAAAGAAATTTCTGGCATCCCAGAAATCTTAAATGACTCCAGTGATTTTATATCAAAAAGAGTTACCTTTTTGCAAGATTTCTGTGCAAATTTATTTATTGCATCATTGTTTGTAATAATGAAAAACTGGAAACAATCTAACTTCATCAATAAGGGATTGAGTAAACCAATTATGGTACATTTATACAATGGAAAACTTGAAAGCCACTGAAAAGAATAATATATAAATACATTCAAGGTATATTGTTACATTAAAAAAGCAAACTACAAATCAATATTACAAGATGATCTGATTTTAACAGTAACAGTATATTTGTTAAATTTGGCATTAAGGAAAACCTGGAGTAGTTATTTCTAAGGGTGACTTATGGAAACATTTCTTTATAATTTATATATTTATGTAATGTCTTAGTTTTTCACAGTTAGCATGTATTTGTCTTATAATTATAAAAATGCCCATTTAAAAAATAATTAGAAGGACTCCAGAGATATGGATATTGAACCTGAGAACCAGGGAAGAAGGAACCACGTTGTGAACCCGTATTCTGTGCTATATTTGTCTTATTTCATCCTCACAATGACCTTGTGAGGATGGAATATTACTCTCATTTTCATAGATAGAAAATTAGACTCAGAGGAGTAATGTGAGTTTCCTAAGGTCACAGATAGTGACAGAAACAGACTCAAATTCAGGTGCATCAGAATCCAGAAGTCTATTATCTATGCAAGGGTTTTAAAATATCTTATATAAAACAGTAACAGACCAGATATCTACAAAGAGGGATAAGGGAGCCTGGAGGAACTAGTTCCTAAAAGCCTGGAGAAGCAATGAATTGGGGTGGGGAGGAGGAGAGGAGAAAGAGAGAGACAAAGAGAGAGAGAGAGAGAGAGAGAGAGAGAGAGAATGTGTGAGTGTGTGTGTGTTAGGGTAGGAGGACTACAAGAATAGGGGAACTGAATATAGTTTGTTATGATATGATGCAGGACACATAGAGGATAGACAGATAGATAGATGTTAGATAGATAGACAGATAGATAGATGATACGTACATACATACGTACGTACATACATACATACATACAAGAGTTGGTAAGAAAGGTATCAGACAGGTAGGCGGAGGAAAGATAATGAAGACCCTTATGTATCAGGCCAAAAAGTTTAAATTTTATGTAGAAAATAATGAGGAAGAATTTTATGCACTGGAGAAGCAAGAATAGATTTGAATTTGAGAAAGTTAATCTGGGGGATAAATTAGAGGTGAGAGTAGAGGAAACTCAAGGCAGGAGACCAATTAGAAGGATACCGCAACAGTTTGAGAAGAAATAGTGTTCACCTAAACTGTGGCATTGAGAATAGAAAGGAGAGGAGAGATTCAAGACAGGAGCTGCTTGGTATTTGATTTGACGTTGAGGGTTAGGGAGGGAGGGAAAAATTTAGGCTGATACCCAAATTTCGGGTTTAAAAAACTAGATACTGCTGGTATTGTTCAGTGAGAGAAGAAAGAACAAAAGAATAGAATAGTGGGTTTGGGGATTGGGTAGGAGGAGAGGAAACAAATGCCACTATGCGTGGATATAGTCTGGGCCATGCAAGAGCACAGAGTCAGCAGGACATCTGACATAGAGGTCTAGATGCATTCTGAGGGTCAAAGACACACATAATAAGACCAGTGAAGCTGATGAGCAAACATATCACCCAGAACACTATTAAAAATAAGCTCTATTCTGGAAATTATAATACAGTAGGAATTATAAGAATCTGTAGAATGAAGGAATCTGTGGTTTATAATGCTTCTGATACCTAGCCAGACTTTGCCTTAGCACAACTTTTAGGAACTATCTCCAGTGGGCTGGCTCTGTGAGGGCTGTGTCTCAAGGACTCCAAAATTTGGCCGTGCCCCTCAGATACTTAATTTTCAATTTTATAAAGTACTTTTAATCATATACATGAAACATCAACTGTCTGGCAGCGACAGAAGTAAGCATGAATGCTTTAATTTTTTAAAGTAATAATTAAAGCCATAACAGCATTTGAAATCAAAACAGGTTTAATTCTATATTTTAATTTTAGAAATCAATCGGTAGGGTTCTATAGAGTATTTCATTCTTACATGTTGCTATTTTTAATTAAAGAGGGACAGCAAGTCTATTTAAAATTTGTTATTTTTTAATTTAAAAACTGCTAAGCTGCTATTTTTCTGTATTTAAAGTACTTATGTATTATCATAAGAGTTTTCTTATATATTAAACATTCTTTAGAAAATTTAAATAGCCTGTTGAAAGCGATATCCCCTTACCTCCAATGTTCTGCATTGTAATAGAAATGAAAGCTCCGATTTTACCAGGCCATCCAAATGCCTTTTCCCCTAATTTTTCATAAATTAAAGATCCTACAATCAAAGATAAAATAATCTTGTTAAAAAATTGTTTTAATGATTAAAATATTTCTATAATATAATTCTACAATGGAGTATCAAATATGTAAAAATATACCACAAAGAAATAATAAAACCTAAAAGATACAATCTCAAAAACTAATACGTTAAAATGTTCTTCAGACAAGAAGAAATAGCTTCATTCATGTTAGCTCAGTGCAGCAAGTCAAAACTGCTATTTACATCATCTACTAAAAATCTCTTTTTCTATTTGGCTTCAACCTGAACCAATTGACTTTCACTCCTCTCAGTCACCTAAATAACTAAAAACATTGAGAGATTGTGTCATTGGAGTCAGAAGAAAATGGAATGTGAAATTGACCCAAATCATCCCATAGTTATGTAGCTATAGATTGAAATACCCTTTAGTGAGAATCAAAATAGAACATTTTGGACTTAACATACCTCCTTCCTTAGAAGTCTTTAATAAGAGATGAACTGAATAGAGTGATAATATTGCCACAGCAAGCAGCATGATTCTGTTAAGGGAATAGAGAAGAAAATAAAGTGTCTGTAATAAATAAGACATAATAACATTAGATATTACAAATGATCACATTGGTCTTTTCAATCACTAACTTAACAAAAGATTTTGGAGTTTTGGGAAGCTGAGAAATTCTTTTAAGAATTCTACACGCACTTTTTAATGTCACAGAATTGGAATTTGCTATTTTTTATGTACCAAAACCTACTACTTGAAGTCCGTAACATATCGTTTTTTCCCTTCAGTGTTACCCAGGAGTAAAATCTGGTTCATAACTTGGATGCTAAATGTATAGCAAAATTAGCAAATACTATATCTACTTCCTCAGTACACGGATCCGTGTACATCATATTTGCTTGATATTTGCAACAACATTTATAATTGAAGGGCTATTCAATAGTATGACTAAACCTTAATCTAAAATCTGAAATAGAAAAGAAAATGCGTGCAATGTTTGAACTGATCTGGCCCATTGGGCGACAAGACACTTTGTGAACTAGGGGATCAGGCAATTGCCTGTGTAATAGAGAAACAGAGAAAGGTAAGAATAGGGTGCAGGAAAATTCCTTTTGTGTATTCAAAAAAATCATTTCTGGTTCAGGACCCTCCACAGACTCACGTGCATGTATGATTTCTTTACGTAGATAGTGATCACTGTTTCTCCAGAATCAAGAATTAAAGAGCAAAAATAAGTGTAGATAAAAGTATCTATATAATAAGTTAAGGAATAATACTAAACTTTACCTGAATTTTTTCTTTTAAATCGTATTCTTTCTCTGTTTTACATGATGAGAGCACACTACATTTTCCC